GAAAAAGAGGTTTAACGGACTCACAGTTGCACATAGCTGGAGAGGCCTCAAAATCACGGTGGAAGGTGAAGGAGGAGCAAAGGCACATTTACATGGCAGCAGGCAAGATAGTGTGTGCAGGGGAACTGCCCTTTTATAAAACCATCAGATCTCATGAGACTTTTTCACTATCAGGAGAAAAGCCCACCTGCATGATTCAATTGCCTCCCCCGGGGTCCCTCCCATGACACGTGTAGGAGCTACAATTCAAGATGAGATTTGGGTGGGGACACAGCAAAACCGTATCAAGGGCAAAGTAGCTAATTATCCAACCCACACTTTCTAATGATAACAATGATAATAATAATGTCATTATAAATGTTCATAGTACCTTTCCTGGCTAAAATTCTTTAAAGTAACAGAAACCACTCCGACTTAACCTAAACCCAAAGGAAGAATTTATTATAAGAATATAGTTATGTAATGTGAATCAAAAGAGACTGGAACCAGAAATAGATAGCTGTCCTTTCTCCTTATCACTCATCTGCTTTATGTTTCTCTTGAATGATGGACCTTACTCTGCTTCTCCGTCTATATACCAAATAAACCTACCTCTCAGCTCCAGAATTATAAATAATAGTTTTAGCTGTGATTTGGTCTCAGCTCCTGACCAAGGGAATCTAATTGTCCTAGATTGAAAAAAGGTGTGCACTTGTAGGCTAAAAACTTGGGCCGAGGTTTTTTAGGAGTTCACTGTGTAACATAAGCATGACTGCCTGTGAGCCCACCCCCATTAGATGGGCTGGGTGAGGGATGGCATGCTCTCACGAGGGAAATGGTCACCAAATTGGACAGAAATCCCAAAAGTATCAATTACCATGCTTCTTTTCAAAATGATTTCATGCAATAATCTTTTTTCATGAGAGGATTCAGTTCCTATACTATGCCTACTTGGTATCTACTGGTGTCAAGTGTTTGGGGTTTGTTTTAGAGAGGAGGCCTCTCTCTGGCGCCCAATCCAGGCTGCAGTACAGTGGCACAATCATAGCTAACTGGAGCCTTAGATTCCTGGGCTCAAGCAATCCTCCCACCTCAGCCTCCCTAGTAGCTGGAACTACAGCCACAAGCCACTATACCTGGATTTTTTTATTTTTATTTTTATTTTTTTTTTTATTTTTTTTTGAGATGGAGTCTGGCTATGTTGCCCAAGCTAGCCTGGAATTCCTGGCCTCGAGCCATCCCCCATCCTCCTATCTCAGCTTCCCAAGGCGCTGGGATTACAGACATGAGCCACTGTGCCTGGCTGTGATAGTTCTTATTAAAAGGCTAAGATGTTTCAAATGCTAACAAATACGTAAGTAATTTCTGCTGACTTTTGTCCTTTCATCACTGGCAATAAAGTACATCCCAGGATATTAAGCTTAGATAATGCTAGTGAAACTTTCATAAAAGAATGAATACAAAGCCATGCAGAACTTCTTAAAAACCCTGACCAAAAAAGCATAAAAACACCCCAACTAAAGACCACTTTTGTTAATAAATGTAAAGCTCAAATAGTCATACCTCATAATTTAGCCAAAGATAACTGAACTTTTGAAATGTCAGAGTTTTACCATATTGCATTGTTTTCTTTTTTTTATTATTATTACTGATCAGATTAGTTTCTCTTCTGCCAGTGAAAAATCCGAAAGAAATCTGAATAATCAACGCAATATTCAGTTCCAAAACCTATTTACGGAAATCTATTAGGGCAATTCATTAATGTCCAGAAATACATTTTTCCCACCATCTATCATTTTCAGAACAAATTCTGAAGATCAAGGTTCCTGGTCAATGAAAAGCAGGTGTCTAGAGAAAATAAGACAGATTTCTAGACCCCGCAAAGTTGAAAGACCAACTGCTTGGCATTCTGAAGATTGGTTATATCAGCCTGCAAACATCCTCTCATTATTTTAATCTCATACTCTATAAAATACTTTTGGATCCTTTGCCAGCAAGATAAAAACAAATTAAACAAAAGGGCCAATATGCACAAAATATCTTATTCTGGAAGCACCACTGCTGACAGCTTCCGAAAAAATAAAATAAAGTGGAACTTTCAAAAAAACTTTCCAAATAGCAGACAGTATTACCAAGAAAGAGTCAAAAACTAAAAACGGCATAACAGTCAGCAAATACAGGAGTGTGGCTCTCCTCATGGCTCTTATAATTCTTTTCTCACAATATTCTTACAGTTTCTATCACGTTCTGTAAGTATATAGTTATTTGTCCGTTACATTGCAAGCCGAAACTCAGAGTAAGCTTGACCTGGAGCTCTAATCAGTAGAAATCACACACACAGAGAGACACACATACACACACTCTCTCTCTCTTTCTCTTTTGGCCCTAAACCAAAATACTAGGATATAAATGTACCAAAATCATTTAAGTTAAAACAAAATGTTTCTCTATCTATTTCCCCACCCTCCACCAATATACATGTAATTTTTACGAGTTCAATAAGATGGGTTTTTTTGCCTGTGCTTACATTACATAGTTGCAGGGAACATAAGAAATGGCTTATAAAGTAGGAGAACTAATGTAACCAATGCTATGGGAAACAGGGTAAAGAAGGATATAGAGAAGGGACTACTTGAGCTGAGCAGACAGACAGTCCTGGGTAAAGGCACTGAAGATACAAGAACAATGTGGACAAAGGCCCATAGGCCAAGTAGAATGGCTTATTGAAGGAACATCAACAGAACAAGGGGTTCCAACAGAGAACAGCAGCAACAGAGACCAAGGAAATAGGTAAAGTCTGGGTCCTCAAAGGCTTATAACGCAGCACATAGAAGGTAAACTAAGAGAAAATGGAGCAAACAAGACTCTAAGCAGCAAAATATAATAACTGGACAAGCATCTTCAAAGGTCATTGTAGCAGTGGCAGTAGGGTGATTTGGGGGTATGAAGAATGACAGACTTAAAGAAAGTAACTTCCAAAGTCCAAGCAAGAAATGAGAGAGCCTAGGACTAAGTGAGAAGAGACAAAAATGAAAACATGATGAAGGCAGAATCAACAAGACTTACCCACCACGTCCTTAGCTATATGAGTCTAGCGAAGAGAAGGAATACAGAGTAACTGGTGTGTTGCTTTAGTGGCTCTGTAGCTCACAAATTATTTTCCCAGTTAACTTTAAAGAAGAAAAAGCAAGATTGGCAGAAGAAGAAGTCAATTCAGATTATTTTGAGTTTAAGCAGCCTGTAGGACAGAAAACAGAAATGCCAAATCATTAGCTGAATACGCATAACTGGATTTGAGGAGAAATGTCTGATCTGAGTTGGAGACTGGTGACCTAATCCTTTATATTTGAAGCCGTGGGAGTGGATGTTATTAATGAGAAAGACCAGGGAAGGGCAACCAAAAAAAAGTCAAGGGCAGAACCCAGAATCACACCCACTTTTCAGAAACAGTCAGACAGGAGAACAACAAGAGGATACTAACAAAGAAAGGTCTGCAAGATGGAAGCAAGTTTAGGCCAGTGGGACTTCAGAAACTGCAAGGTCAGAAGGATTTGTGAACCCAAAAGTATCTGAGACAGGTCTCAATTTAGAAAGAGTATTTTCCCAAGCTTAGGAATGCGTCCCTGACATAGCCTCAGGCAGTCCTGATGACATGTGCCCAAAGTAGTCGGGATACAACTTACTCTCACACATTTTAGGGAGGCATAACACATCAATCAATACACGTAAGATCGGTTGGATCTGGAAAGGCAGACAACTAGAAGTGGGTGAGAAGTGGCTTCCAGGTCATAGGTAGATTTAAAGATTTTCTGATTGGCAATTGGTTATTATCTAAAGACCTAGAAACAATAGAAACAAATGTCTGGGTTGCAATAAGAGGTTGTGGATACCAAATATGATCGTGGAGATGAAGCCTCTAAGTGGCAAATTTCAGAGAGAACAGATTGTAAATGTTTCTTATCAGACTTAAGGTCTGTGTTGATGTTGATGCTGGCTGGCTTTTCCTGAATTCCAAAAGGAAGAAGGGCATAATGAGGCATGTTGGACCCCCCTTCCCATCATGGCCTGAACCAGTTTCTCAGGTTAACCTTGGCAGAGAGGAGGGGTCCATTCAGATGATTTGGAGGATTAGAATTTTATTTTTGGTTTACAGTTTCAAGGAGAAGCAGGACAATCATGTCAGAGAGCTTCAGTGAGGCTGAAAATGCTCCACCAGATTCAGCAGTCTTTAAGCTATCAGAATCCTTTGGCAGGGTAGGGGCTTGGAGGGGTGAGGGTAGAGGGATGGAGACGAGAGAAAAGGACAGGCAAAGGGGCACAGATATCTCCATCAGGGAGTGAGCATGCCCCACACAAATTCCTTAAGGCAACCTGTGAGGCTATCGCCTTGGCACAAACCCTATCACATGTCAGTCAACTTCCCGGCAAGTCGCAGATCTTTAGAAACCTTGGTGTGTATTTCCCTGCTCGGCTTAGGACGCACCCCTGCCTCCACTCCACAAACGTCCATTGAGTCCTCAAAAACCCGGACAAATGACCTCACCTCCAAAGCCCCCTCTCTGATGCTCCCAGGAAAAACGAAAGCACCTCAGTTTGTTTTGTCCGTACCTTACACGGCTTTGTAATTATCTGTGGTGCCTCTGGCTCAAATCAAAGCGGGAGCCAGACCCAAAAAGTCAAGGAAGGGAAGCGCCTTCACAGGCCTCGCGTGAGGAGAAAAGAACTACAATTCCCATGAGGCGGTGGGTCCCAGGGACCACAAGTCCCAGCATCCACTGCGCGGCCCAGGCCTGTCAGGGTAGTAGGCGCTGCGTGAGGCGGGTAAATGTTCGCGGAAGCGGCGAAGAAGACAGGGCCTTGTGGGATGGCGGAGTTTAAGAAGAAGCCTGAGGCCCCGACTGAGCAGCTGGATGTCGCGTGCGGCCAGGAAAACTTGCCGGTGGGCGCGTGGCCCCCGGGGGCCGCGCCGGCGCCCTTCCAGGTAGGGGCGGGGCCAGGCGGCGCGGGAGGCAAACGCGCGGCTCCCCCACGTGGTCTCCTTCTCAAGCAGCCTCGCCGGGACGGCCTCCCAATCGCGACCTTTTGTCTTCTCTTATAGCACACCGGTGGTGCGCGGGAATAGGTGTGCATGCCCCGGCCTGGGCCTTTTTCTGTTAACCCACGGCATCACCTTAGCAAGGGTGCTGTCCTTTTCAGTCCATTCCCTGAAGCGCAGAACCAGAGGCCTTATGAGAACCCGGCTTTTTGTCCCAGTCCTGTCCTCAGAACTCAAGGAGGCATCAAGGGGGGAGTCATTTACCTCTCCGGTCTCAGGTGTCTCTCACAGGTAGGATAAGCCGTGGGGCCTGTTAGTGGATAGCACCCAGTGTCGTGCATAAAAACAGCCCCGCGAGTCAGCCTTAGCTGTGGTCTCCCTCATGCTGTGGGCTCTTGGGCAAGTATAAATTAGCTTTGGCTAAGCCTTAGAGTCTTCCAGTTCTAACAGTACCTCTCTTCCGGATTGCTTTGAAAATTGCAAGGAAAATACACTTTCTGGTTTGCTCTAAGAACTCAGTAAATGTTCGCTGCTATTAACTTCTCAAAGCCCTTTCTACTCTTTTTTTTTTTTTTTTTTTTTTTTTTGAAACTGAGTTTCGCTCTTGTTGTCCAGGCTGGAGTGCAATGGCATTATCTCTTATCTCGGCTCACCGCAACCTCCACCTCCCGGGTTCAAGCAATTCTCCTGCCTCAGCCTCCCGAGTAGCTGGGATTACAGGCATGTGCCACCACACCCGGCTAATTTTTTTATTTTTAGTAGAGACAGGGTTTCTCCATGTTGGTCAGGCCGGTCTCAAACTCCCAACCTCAGGTAATCCGCATGGTTCAGAGCTTAGCCATCTTAGCTACTTCCCAGAGCCTGAGTTTATTCATCTGCAAAATGAAAATAATAATTTAAAAATACATAGCCATCCATTATCAACAGTGAACCCTATCTGCCCTTTCTTTTTCCTAGGAATCTTGTGAGGATCGGTTAAGATAATAGATTCAATAGCAGCTTTCAAAGATGTCAAGGAAAAGAATCAAACTCTGTAAAATATTTGAAGAGATTTATTCTGAGCCAAATACGAGTGACCATGACCTGTGACACAGCCCTCAGGAGATGCTGAGAACATGTGTCCCCGGTGATTAGGGCACAGCCTGGTTTTATACTCGTTTGGGAGAGAGGAGACGTCAATCAAATACATTTAACATGTACATTGGTTTGGTTCAGAAAGTCAGGGCAACGCAAAGTGGTAGAGGGGCTTCCAGACTATAAGTAGATTTAAAATTTTTCTGGTTAACAATTGGTAGAGTTTATCTGAAGACCTGGGATCAATAGAAATGTTTAGGTTAAGATAAAGGGGTTTCTTTTGAGACGGAGCTTGACTCCATCACCCAGGCTAGAGTGGTGGTGCGATCAGCTCACTGCAACCTCCGCCTCCCAGGTTCAAGCGATTCTCCCGCCTCAGCCTCCCAAGTAGCTGGGATTACAGGCACCCACAGCCACGCCCAGCTAATTTTTGTATTTTTAGTAGAAACAGGGTTTTACCATGTTGCCCAGGCTGGTCTCAAACTCCTGACCTCAAGTGATCTGCCCACCTCGGCCTCCCAAAGTGCTGGGATTACAGAAGTGAGCCACCACACCAGGCCAAGTAGAGACCAAGTTTTATTGTGCGGAGGAAACTCTCAGCCGACTTCAGAGGGAGCAGTTTGGAAAATGTTTCTTACCGAACTTAAAAAGGTGCCTCGCTCTTAGTTTATTATCTCCTGGTTGTGGAAAGAAAGAAAAAGAGGGGGAAAGGGGATTCTCTATAATAGAGTGTGGATTTTTCCCACAAGAGACAACCCTCCAGGGCAATGTCAAAATATGGCAAGGAAATATATTTGGGGTTAAAATATTTTGATTTCTTCCTTTATTTGTTATGTGATGTTATGCCAGAGTCAGGTTAGAAAGCAGACCATGCTATATAGGGTTAAAATTAAAACTCCTCTGATGAGATTTTATGGTTTGTGAGGCATGACTCCTCAGGTACCTTAGGTAGGAATTTGGGCAAGATAAAAAAAATCAGAGTTTAGTCCTCAAAAGAGTAGAATAAGATTAATGTCAGAAATTATTATTGTTCCCCAGACTACCTTTGGCAATTTATGTTAATAATACAGTTGGCTGGCCCAATATTAAACAGTGGTCCCTGAAAACTTACTCAGCACTAAGCATTGCTGAGTTCCTGGTCAAAAACACTGATTAAAAAAACCACTGTTCTAGTCCATTCTTAATTCAACAAATTGAGAGCTAAATATATGCAAGGTGGTGGGTTGGGCTGCAAAGAATACAACAAACAGAAAAACACATTCTACCCTCAAGGTGTTTACAACAGTTATGATTAGCTTCAATATTCCTGCTGTGCCTGTGTGTGTGTATATATATATATGTGTGTGTATGTGTGTGTGTTTGAGGCTATTCTATTTACAATCTTGGGTCATATTTTTCTTTGCCATATCCAAGAACAATCTGTAAAACTGCCCGACATATTTTTTAATTAACTCACTTTAAGCATCATTTAAAAATAAGTAATATAAGTATCTCCCTTAGAATCACTGTAATCATTAATGTCCATAAAATCTTGAGGTTTTATATTTCGCAGAGTATATTAAACACATCTATTTTAAAAAGGGGAGAAAGGAGTGACAAGAGGAAGCTTTATGATTGATTGTTATGTCTACAGTTGGTAGGCATAAATGAAAACTGGGAGATTAAAACCCAGTCCCACAGTGTTCTATCTCTGTACATGCACAGTTCTCAATAGAGATAGAGTTACAAAAATAAGACAGGATCCCCTCCTAAGAGACCTTATTGTCTTTCTTACCAAGAAGATCAAACATGCTTAAAACATTTAAGTGACAAGCCTAAAAGTGCATTCAAGTCGTTTTCTTCCATATATTCATGGAACACAAAACCACTCTTATAAAAGGTCAAAACAGCTTGCTTGCTCCAAACCCTGCCTTCACAGGCATATGCACACATAAGAATTAAGGCATGAAAAACTTTCAAGATAAAAATAACTTTGTGTCTGTTTTGCCTTTGGCTACTGTGTGAAAAAGCAAAAAGAAATTCAAATGTTCATATTGGAAACAAGCATATCATAATGTCATCAGTGTTGAAAGCCAAGTAGAGAATAAACTAATTGATTTTCTTGAGCTAACAGTTGGATGTAACCATTTTTCAGGTCTCTGAAACCAGCTTCAAACATTATTTTTAAGATCTCAGCAGGCCTTGACAAGAATTATCTGGCTCACAGTCTTCTAATAGCTGCTTGGAGGAAAAACAAACTTATGAGGCTAGAGGCCAAGTACAAAGATTCTTGTAGCTGGGGTTTTAACACAACCAAAAAGGGAATGAAGATTTTCACAGCACTTCTTTATAATTCAGAGGCCCAGGTTTTAGGCCTAGAATATTATAGTGTCATACTTCAGTTTCTGGGTCTTCAGTACAGAATGTGATTCAGAAAAGTCAAACTTCTCGTTAATAAGTATCAAGAAAAAAAAAAGTATCAAGAGCTGCAATCTGGCAATCAAAAAATGCTTCTTGAGCACCTGCTGTGTGCCTCGTCCTATGGATAGGAACCCCACCCCCATCAGCATGCCACACTCCAAACCTCATAACCATGCTTTTCCCTGAGACACATATCTGTTAGAAAGGTAAGACCTACACATTCAACACAATTAGAGAGCCCTACAGTCTGTGTCATTTAGACCCTGAAGTTCATGCTATTAACTAAGTCTATTTCAGAGAAGAAAGAAATTATTGCAGACAGGAATAGCCAAGACAAGAGTGTATTTTCTCTTAAGTTTTCTGTCAGAAAACTTGAAATCTCCACCCAGTGCTTGTTTCCAATATATCATTTTGCCCTGATCATTTTGCATTTATTCCCAGCTCTTGCATGAGTAATTCTGTGCTTTGATACATACGAAGAAAAAGTAAAACGTGCCGGGCACGGTGGCTCAAGCCTATAATCCCAGCACTTTGGGAGGCCGAGACAGGTGGATCACGAGGTCAGGAGATCGAGACCATCCTGGCTAACACAGTGAAACCCCGTCTCTACTAAAAAAAATACAAAATACTAGCCGGGCGAGGTGGCGGGCGCCTGTAGTCCCAGCTACTTGGGAGGCTGAGGCAGGAGAATGGCGTAAACCCGGGAGGCGGAGCTTGCAGTGAGCTGAGATGCGGCCACTGCACTCCAGCCTGGGTGACAGAGCGAGACTACGTCTCAACAACAACAACAACAACAAAAAAAAACAATGCAGGAAATTTTAAAAATCCCAGCCAGGCATGGTGGCTCCCTCCCGTAATTCCAACCCTTTTGGAGGCCAAGGTGGGAGAATCACTTGAAGTCAGGAGTTTAAGACCACCCTGGGCAACAAAGTGAGACCCCATCTCTACAAAAACATTGTATTTTAAATTAACCAGACATGGTGGTGCATGCCTGTAGTCCCACCTACTTGGGAGGCTGACCTTGAGCCCAGCAGTTGGAGGCTGCAGTGAGCTATGATTATGCCACTGCACTCCAGCCTGGGCAGCAGTATCTTCAAAAAAAAAAAAAATCCCATTCTCCATGTCCTTTATACTTTTCTGACTGTTTCTAAATCCCTGTATGTGCATATTGCAGACAGTAAGGTAATACTTGATAAATGAAAGAAGTCTGGTCTGGGTCAGCTCTTAGCTTTTCCCCACTCAAATGGAGAAGTAATGGAGGAAAGGTATACAGTCCGATGACTTCCTAGACACAGTTTTGGTTTGAATATGTTTGAACCTGGAATGTTTAACTCCAGAACTTATTTTCTTCACTACCCTACTATATACTACCTGCAAAATTTTTATCGAACATATATGTGCTAATCCCTAGAGTAAGCTTTTTAAGCCTGTTCTGTCAGTTTTTCTTTCACAGAAACCTGTGAAATAAATAAGATATTTAGTAATGTTAAGTAATTTGCCAGAAACATATGTTGTTTTAAATATCACATCTAAAAGTAATATCTAGAAGAACTGAAAGAAGCCAATATTTTTATAAAGTGTCTGACATGGAGTCCAGCATTATTTCATTAAAATTTCATGATAGCACCCCAAATGTGGGTATTATCCTTGTCTTATAGCAACTAATCTGAAGCCTAACAAGTCACTTGTCCAGAATCACAGTGCTAATACTTGGCTGTAGTTTGTGTCTCCTTTAGAGCATTCCATGTTCTACACTAGGAAGCTCTCCGCTGCTTCCTCACAGTTCAAGACCATAGTCATAGAGTTTTCCTGCGTGGTCTCCTGCATACTTTGCTCTAGTCTAACCTCCTAATTGAAGACATCTTTGTTCATTGACCATTTACACCTTTGACTTGTCTATGAAAAGAGTCAAACTCTGCAAACTATTTGAATAGATTTATTCTGAGCCAAATATGAGTGACCATGGACCATGACACAGCCCTCAGGAGATCCTGAGAACATGCACCCAAGGTGGTTGGGATATGGCTTAGTTTTATACATTTTAGGGAGACATGAGACAACAGTCAAATACATGTAAGATGTACATTGGTTCAGTCCAGAAAGACAGCACAGCTGGAAGCGGAAGCTTCCAGTTTCTGATTAACAGTTTGCTTGAAGGAATTGTTATTATCTAAAAACTTAGCAATGTCTTGGGGAAGATAAAGGGTTGTGGAGACCAAGGTTTATTATCATGCAGGTGAAGCCTCCAGGTAGCAGGCTTCAGAGAGAATAGATTGTAAGTGTTTTTTATCAGACTTAAAGAGTCTGTTCTATCAGTAATTCCAAAAGGGAAGAGGGTATAATGAGGCATGTCTGACCCCGGCCCCCTTCCCATCATGACCTGAACCAGTTTTTCAGGTTAGCTTTGGAATGCTCTTGCTGAGAGGAGGGGTCTGTTCAGATGATCAGGAGACTTAGAATTTTATTTTTGGTTAACAGAGTACATTTTCTAACCATTTCCTGAAACCATCCTCAGCTTCTACCCAGGGTGTATCAGTCAGGACTCATTTGTTTGCAAGAAACATAAACAATACAAACTGGCTCCAACAAAAAAGGGAAGGAATTGCCTCAAATCAGAAAAGTCCAAAAGTGGTAACTATAGGCATGTCTGGACCCAATAATTCTAAAAGTATTGTCAGATACTTCTTCCCACCACCCTCCCCCTTCACACCCCTGCTCCCCATTTCTGTGGTAGGCTACCCACTCAGTAGGCCTCATCTATGTGGCGGAACTTGGAAATGCCAGGCAAACACTACAGTTGAACAATTCTAGTGGAAAGAGAATGCCTCTTCCCTAATTGTTTCAGCAGAAGTCTGGCTTAGGTCATATCAGCTGACTCCCAGTTTGTAACCTACTTTACATTAGCTTTCAGATACAGTTATACTCCAGAAACAACTATTATTTAACTATGGGGAAACAGTCTCAGAAATGCATCATTAGACAGTTTCATCATTATGCAAATGTTATAGAGTGCACAGTACTTACACAAACCTAGATGGTATAGCCTACTACACACTTAGGCTGTATGATAATACCCTATCACTCCTAGGCTACAAACCTGCACAGAATGTTACTACACTGAGTACTGTAGATACTTGTAATGCAGTGGTGTTTGTGTATCTAAACATAGAAAACATACAGTAAAAATACTGTATTCTAATCTTACAGGACTACCATTGTATATAGATATATGTAGTCTGACTGAAAAGTCATTACGCAGCACATGACTACTCAAAGTTTAACCACATGGCATGTAAATATTTGAATAGAATGTTAGGACAATGACCTAACATTATTTCTGAAAATAATAAATAGCTTTTCAATATGTAAATACCTTTAAAGATGGGTAATTACGTAATCAGATATTAAATTAGACTAAGGTTTTCAAAAGATTATTCTTGAGTATAGTCATTTTTTAAGTCATTATCATCTGAAATGATATTTTATTGACCTTTTATGGAGGAGAAAATGGAAACATGAAGATAAAATGACTCAAAGCAATTATTGGTATCAGGATCAGTTATTATATCCATCAAGGAGAAAAAATTTGTTTAAACAGGAATTTTCCCAGAAGTCTCTGTTACCTTTTGGAAGGTATCTGCAGTTCATTTGGAATTAGCTACCATCTATAAGTCCCTAGAGGATTATAGATTGTGCAGCAAGTTTAATTGCAGAATTTTAAGAAATATCATGAGATTCTCCAAAATCTTTTTAAATTTGTAAGTAAAAATAACTAAATAAAACTGTTTTTCACCTGCTTTCCTGATTAGAAAACTGCAGTAAGTCAGACTTGATTTTAAAAGAAGTTATCCATGTCAAAAAAAAAACTTTAGCGTTTAGTGATTTATATATACCTTAAAACTATGTGCGCCTTTAATGACAAATCAAGTTTAACATGAAAAGTTTAACAGAGATCTTCATTTTACAAGTACTTTTTAAAATGTCTGAGTAACTATTTACATTTCAACACTGAACCTTTAAAAAGCTGAAGGTAGATTCTATATAAAACAGCAGTCATTGAGTTTGACTGATAGAGCATCATTTTCTAACCCATCCTTTATCCATTTAGGATATTCCTGCTAAGCTAAAGCTGTAAGAAACAACACAAACAAAAGCTATTTCCTCTCTCCACCCCCAAATGACTTTTTAAGCAGAATGTTGGCCTTCCCCCACAATTCCTCCCACTGGTTGTCCTCCTCATCTTTCACAAGAGGATGTCAATCCTCCCCAGCTCAGAGTTTTTTTTAGCATAGGGTTTTGCACTTAACTACATAGCTCCACCTGAGGCCTCCACAAGGAGTATAACTACCTGCTGTTCAATACCTTTCTAAAGCTTGGACTGGAGACAAAATATTAATGGAGGATTGACTGGAAGACATGGTGCAAACGTTCCTCCAGGTGCTTTAAAATCTATCCCCAATGAAAGGCCATGCAACTCGTTCCTTGCAGAACTGCTCTTACCCGACTCTGCTGTTGTGGGATCCCAGCAGCCTTTATTGAGGACCAGAATTTTAAAAGCCCATGAAACTGCTTCCTGGAAAAGAATGGTTTAGAAGAACACATTGGTGGAATTCCTTCCTGGTATCAATACTGAAAAAAGTCAGTGCCGCTTCTGAACAATGAGATTATTCCTTACAGGCAGGGCAAACTGCGTATCTAATCATATATCCTTCTCTGAATTGGCAGCTCTTAGGCAGAGCCAAATGTCCAGTCTACTTCTACCACACACTGTGTGTCTAAGCTCACTGGACCTGTTTGCTCTATTTCCCTTTCACCTTACTGTCCTTACTTGTTCATTTATCTTACCTGTTTGTGAGTCTCATTAAATCCTTTTTGGAATAAAGCAGGTATAAAATGGATTCGGTTTTATGTAAGCAAGAATTACTGTATACATAAAAAAAAATCTGGGTTCACGAGAGATACTTTAATATGAAATCACAGTTTGAAAATATGCTTCACGATGCTAATGAGGATCTAACCAGAGATCAGGCTTCACATAGAGTTTAGATTGAGGATTGTCTTCTTTTTATATAACATTTTATAAATGTAATGTTTTTATATTTTATATATTTTATATAAATGTAATTTTTTATATTCCTTTCCCATTTAATTAGAACAGAATTTCTTTACAAGTGTACATCTATAATAAATTTAAATATCTAGTAATATATATTTAAGAAATAGCATTTTTGGAATTCTGTGTGCAATTGACTTGTCATTTATGACTTTCTCATCCCCAACTAGTATCTGAGGTAACTCACAATTAAAATACATATATGCATGTATATAAGGTAAAGGTAAAAGAGATCAAAAGCTAAGGATAAAATGCTTAACTGTACTCAGACACTAAATTCAGCACTGAGTTTTCTGACATCCAAAGCTAAGAGTGAAACAAAATAAGTTACAAAACTTTCCGTTTCTGATAAGAGAAAAAAATACTGTTTTTATTATTGTCCTTATACGTACATAATACATATATAAATACATGTATATGTCATTATGCGTACCTATATATAACATACTATTATATACATTAAGTATTATAATGCCCAACTCATCCTTATACATAACCTAAAATAAAACCACAAATTCTAAAAATTAATCTTAGCTGGGCATGGTTGTTCCCACTTGTAGCTGTAGCAAGTAAGGAAGCTGAGGCAGGAGAATCACTTAAGCCCAGGTTACAGTGAACTGTGATCACACCACTGCACTCCAGCCTGTGCAACAGAGCAAGACCCTGTCTCAAAAAAAAAAAAAAAAATTCTTGTTTTATTGAAGAAAGATCTTTTTGGACAATATCTTAGTACACTGTGTTTTGTCAGTTTTGAACTGTTTTTATATATGTTAGAATTAGAATGGGTCCCAGTCAAAAACTACTTGGAATATATAGGAAATATATGACATGCCATGCTCACTTACAGTGTGTATATTTTTTACAGTACACTCCTGATCATGTAGTTGGACCTGGAGCAGACATTGATCCCACTCAAATAACCTTTCCCGGATGCATTTGTGTCAAAACTCCCTGCCTCCCTGGCACTTGCTCCTGTCTCCGCCATGGAGAGAACTATGATGATAACTCATGCCTTAGAGATATAGGATCTGGAGGAAAGTATGCAGAGCCTGTTTTTGAATGCAATGTCCTGTGCCGATGCAGTGACCACTGCAGAAACAGAGTGGTCCAGAAAGGTCTGCAGTTCCACTTCCAAGTGTTCAAGACGCATAAAAAAGGCTGGGGACTTCGTACCTTGGAATTTATACCAAAAGGAAGGTTTGTCTGTGAATATGCTGGTGAGGTTTTAGGATTCTCTGAAGTTCAGAGAAGAATTCACTTACAAACAAAATCTGACTCTAACTACATTATAGCCATCAGGGAACATGTTTATACTGGGCAGGTAATGGAAACATTTGTTGACCCTACTTATATAGGAAATATTGGAAGATTCCTTAATCATTCTTGTGAGCCAAACCTTTTGATGATTCCTGTCCGAATTGACTCAATGGTACCTAAGTTGGCACTTTTTGCAGCCAAAGATATTGTGCCAGAAGAAGAACTCTCTTATGATTATTCAGGAAGATATCTTAATCTAACAGGCAGTGAAGACAAAGAAAGGCTAGATAATGGGAAACTAAGAAAACCTTGTTACTGTGGTGCCAAATCATGTACTGCTTTCCTGCCTTTTGACGGTTCTCTGTACTGCCCCTTAGAAAAGTCGAACATCAGTTGTGGAAATGAGAAGGAACCCAGCATGTGTGGCTCAGCCCCTTCTGTGTTCCCCTCCTGCAAGCGATTGACCCTTGAGGTGAGTCTGTTCAGTGATAAGCAGCTTGCGCCTCCCTCTAGTGGAAGACAGTGGTTGGCTAGCTTTGCCTCTGCCTAGTTATGTAAGTTGAACTCAGGAATGTGGCAGAGACTACAAGTTGTCCATCAGTATCTTTTCTCCCTTTCTGTAATAGAATTCTCCATTTAACATGAGTACATGACTACCCAGAATATTCACTTTCCTAGTTAGATTTGTCTTAGTAACTGTTTTAGTTAATGGGATATAAGCAAAAATGACAAGTCCTTAAATGGAGATATCCTGCCCTTCACCTCCTCTTTCTTCCTTCTGGCTGGAATGTATACATGATGACTGGAACTGAAGCAGTCATCCTAGACCCCAGGATGACCCTGGGAAAGGAAGCCATTGCATAGAAAAATCAACAAGATTAAAAGGAGTCTAGGTGTCTGGTACTGTAGAATATCCTGCCAGTCATGGTCTGACACCATTGTACTTTCAGGTGAGAAATGGTGTCTCCCTTGTTTAAGCCACTGTTATTGTAAGTTTTCTAGCACTAACATCGAACCTAATAATCCAAGAAACCCTTGTGGCTGCATACCTAAACCCTGCTTTCCAACCAATTTTAACAGTAATAAAGCTGACATTTTGATTTCTGTCTGACTCCTGTATCCTACTTAATTGTTTCTAAGCATGAATCAAGGAAAAACGCATTATTAACCATCACCTGCTAAAACCCTAATAAGTACCACCAGTAGTGAAAAATATAACCATGAAAATGACTTACATGTTGTAACCAAAAGTCAGAAAAGGAAACACATTGTAAATGTTTCATTATATACTTGGCTGTACTCCAAATCTTGTGAAGTTATGCTTCAAAACTTCAAACAGCCTCACTTCTTGTATAAATAACAGAAAAATAACGCTGTCCACACCACAGAAGGAGATGGGAGTTTTGTAATCCCATTTAAACTTCTAGAGCATCAAACATCTCTAACTACCTTCCTTAAAGCAGGGATGTTGCCAAAAAAATTACTGTGTAAGTTTATCAGACATTTTGAAAGCTAAAATAATTACTAGAGCCCCTATGATATTAAGTAATTTAATTTCTTCTCTAGTACATTTAAACCCTACCACTAGGAGGCCTTGCAGTTTCAACATTATAGGAATCCGTGTTATATATATCACTATTCCTCTGTAATATAAGTACATTGTACACTTTAAATGAGTGAAATGTATAGCATGTGAATTATATCTCAATAAAGCTGGGTTGTTTTTAAGTATCTTAGGGTTTACATGTTCATATAACGTTATATGGAATGGTTCTCTGTGAACAAATGGTCCTAGAGTACACATAAAATGCCCCAAATTACAAATATATAGTATCAAAAATTTTCCTCCAAATTAATCATTTCTCCATGCCAACTTTCCTCTGTTAGTTCAATGTCTCTGAAGCAGTCCTGCTTTTTGTAAGGCAGTTTGTATCCCTCACTCGAAAATGTGCTTTTTCTCACTCACAAGCTCACCTAATAACTGAGCTGCTTCAGAAGCAATACAGAAATGGTCAGAAGGAAAATGATTGGCTCACCATTTGATTCTGCAGATACCCTTTTCTATGTCCTTTTGCCTTTCTCTATTGAACAGCAGAGATATTCCCAGAGGACAATCTTCCATTCAGAGACAAGGACACAAACAGCCCCCTCCAACTCAGTGCCTCTGCCAGAGACAACTGACTGAATGTGGACCCCTGAAAATTTTTTGTACTCAGGCACTAGTTTATTATATAGCACTTAGTCCTAGAAACCCGATTCCTAAGGTAAGAGTCAAAGAGTCTTTATTCCAAGTCTTTTCTAAGCAGCAAGTTAACTGCATTTGTTTGCTTCAGTGCCATATTCTTAAGAATGTTGACACTTCTTTTGAGAGAAAACATTTAAAACTATACTTCCACTTGCCTATTTTCCCATGATAAAGTAACATTTTTATAATTATAAGATTCAAATTTTAAAAGATGGGGCTGGGTGCAGTGGCTCACATCTGTAATCCCAGCACTTTGGGAGGCCTAGGCAGGCAGAACACTTGAGGTCAGGAGTTTGAGACCAGCCTGGCCAACATGCTAAAACCTCATCTCTACTAAAAATACAAAAATTAGCTAGATGTGGTGGCACATGTCTGTAGTCCCAGCTGCTCGGGAGGCTGAGGCACGAGAATCACTTGAGCCCAGGAGGCAGAGATTGCAGTGAGCCAAGATTGTACCACTGCACTCCAGCTTGGGTGACAGAGCGAGACTCTGTCTCCAAAAAAAAAAAGTAGTAACAGTTTTTGCATTGTTGGAATTTGGCATTTAATATTGGAATACATTCTTAAATAAATGTGGTCATATTATACATCATTTTAATGGGCATTTCTTTGTGTTTTTTTGCTAATGACATCTTACTTGCTGTTTATGTTTATTTTAGACTATGAAAATGATGTTAGACAAAAAGCAAATTCGAGCAATTTTTTTATTCGAGTTCAAAATGGGTCGTAAAGCAGCAGAGACAACTCGCAACATCAACAACGCATTTGGCCCAGGAACTGCTAACGAACGTACGGTGCAGTGGTGGTTCAAGAAGTTTTGCAAAGGAGATGAGAGCCTTGAAGATGAGGAGCGTAGTGGCCGGCCATCAGAAGTTGACAACGACCAACTGAGAGCAATCATCGAAGCTGATCCTCTTACAACTACAAGAGAAGTTGCCGAAGAACTTAATGTCAACCATTCTACAGTCGTTCGGCATTTGAAGCAAATTGGAAAGGTGAAAAAGCTCGATAAGTGGGTGCCTCATGAGCTGACTGAAAATCAAAAAAATCGTCGTTTTGAAGTGTCATCTTCTCTTATTCTACGCAACCACAACGAACCATTTCTCGATCGGATTGTGACGTGCGATGAAAAGTGGATTTTATATGACAACCGGCGACGATCAGCTCAGTGGTTGGATCAAGAAGCAGCTCCAAAGCACTTCTCAAAGCCAATCTTGCACCCAAAAAAGATCATGGTCACTATTTGGTGGTCTGCTGCTGGTGTGATCCACTACAGCTTTCTGAATCCCGGTGAAACCATTACATCTGAGAAGTATGCTCAGGAAATCGATGAGATGCACCAAAAACTGCAACACCTGCAGCTGGCATTGGTCAACAGAAAGGGCCCAATTCTTCTCCACGACAATGCCCGACCGCATGTTGCACAACCCACACTTCAAAAGTTGAATGAATTGGGCTATGAAGTTTTGCCTCATCCACCGTATTCACCTGACCTCTTGCCAACCAACTACCACATCTTCAAGCATCTCAACAACTTTTTGCAGGGAAAACGCTTCCACAACCAGCAGGATGCAGAAAATGCTTTCCAAGAGTTTGTCAAATCCCGAAGCACGGATTTTTACGCTACAGGAATAAACCAACTTATTTCTCGTTGGCAAAAATGTGTTGATTGTAATGGTGCCTATTTTGATTAATAAAAATGTGTTGAGCCTAGTTATAATGATTTAAAATTCACGGTCCAAAACCGCAATTAGTTTTGCACCAACCCAATATCTTCATAGAATTGAAACATAAATTAAAATTGCATTTGAAGTAGATTCCACAGACTTCATTAAGAATGTAGAAATGTGGCCTGGCATGGTGGCTTACAACTGTAATCCCAGCACTTTGGGAGGCTGAGGTGGGCAGATCACTTGAGTCTGATAGTTCAGGACCACCCTGGGCAACATAGTGAGACCCCGACTCTAATAAAATAATTTTTTTTTAAAAGAGTAGAAATATGTACCTTGAAAAACATTTTGGCCCAAGAATAATAACAATCACACTTGAAGAACAAAGCTTTTCTTTAAAAAAAATTTTTTTTTAATTTTCAAATTACTATTCACAAAGTATCAGTGATATTAGATTTTGTTCTTGGCCAAATGAAAAATTTTGCCCTAATTAAAATGTAGTCATGCTCCAGTGTGTTACCACTGAACAAATCACTGAACCTTTCCAAGTGAAAGTTTCCTTAGGAAGATTGAGTTAACACATGCAAAGGGGTTAGAACAATGCCTGAGTACATAGAAAGTATTCAATAAATGTAAATTATTAGTCTTGAGAACTGTCTGTAGCATGTGACCCAAAGTTCTCCCTTCTATTCAGGTGTAATTAGGATATAATGTCCTTCAATGGCAGACTTAAAGGGGGAAAAAGTCACAAAGAGGTGACCAGAAGGGTTAGAGCTGAGCAAGAGAGTTTCATGCCCTGAGCCCTGCGTTTTAGAGTGCCTAGGGTTACATACATAGGCACACATGCATAAAGAAGACATGGATACCATAACCAGATGAAGACATTACTAGGAAAGAAAAATAATACCAATATCCCTTTTGAATATAGAGGCAAAAAAAAAAAAAAGTACTAGCAAATGAAATTCAGCAAGATGTAAAAAGAATTATACACCGTGATCAAGTGGGATTTATCCCAGGAAAGCAAGGTTGTTTTAACATATGAAAATCAGTAAATCCAGTCTGTTAATGGGATAATTCACAAAAAATAAATATATAATGATTTCCATAGACACAAAGCATTTGACAAACTCCAACAGCCTTTCGTGATAAAAGCAGTGAACAGACTAAAGTAAACAGGAACTTCTTCAACCTGAGAAAGGACATCTATGAAGACCCACAGCTAACATCATACATAATGATGAAAGACTGAAAGCTCTTATCCTAAGATATGGAACAAGAAAATGATCTCCAAGCTCACCACTTCTACTCAGCATTGTACTGGAGTTTCTAGCAAGGACAATTAAGCAGGTAAGAACTTAAAACTCAGGGCCAGGTGCAGTGGCTCATGCCTGTAATCCCAGCACTTTGGGAGACCAAAGCAGACAGATCACCTGAGGTCAGGAGTTCAAGACCAGCGTGGCCAATATGGCAAAACCCTATCTATACTAAAACTATAAAAACAAGCTGGGCTTAGTGGCACACACCTGTAATCCCAGCTACTCCTGAGGTTGAGGCAGGAGAATCGTTTGAACCTGGGAGGTGGAGGTTACAATTAGCTGAGATCACACCACTGCACTCCAGTCCAGGTGACAGAGTGAGACTGCCTCTCAAAAAAAAAAAAACTTTAAAAAAATAAGACAAATGACCCAATTTAAACATGGGCAAAAGATCTGAATAGACATCAAAAATAAACATGAATGTGAAAATGTGGTCAACATCATTTGTCATCAGGGAATTGCAACTTAAAACTATAAGTTATCCCTTAGCACCCACTAGGATGGTAGAAAGCGAAAACACTAAAAATGCCAAAAGATGGCAAGGATGTGGAGACACAGGAACTCTTCATTGCTCATTGAAATGTGACATGGTTCAGCCTCTTTAGAAGACGGTTTGGTGGGTTCTTAAAGAGCTAGACATAGCATTGATCCAGCAATCATGCTCCTGTTAACCAAAATGACAGGGGTTCAGTCCTGCTGCTCACCACACAGAATGTCAATCACTGAGACAATGAATGTTGCCAAGGAAGAAATATTTAATTGGGTGCTGCAGCCAAGGAGAATGGGAGATAAAGTCTCAAATCCCTGACCAACTACAACTGGGGAGGCTTATATACTGAGGGAAGAAATTGAGGGTAAAAAAAGCAATTATGATGAATGAGGGTGTCTGGCATCTTGTTTCGATGTGGTGATCTGGTGAGTTTTAAGTCCCTTGCCTGAGGATCTGTTTGCTGAGGAAGGAACTCAGATGAGACAAATGTAAATTTCAAGTTTTAAGACCTGAAGGGTCAATTTCCATGTTTATGTCAAAACTTTTAAATATCATTTCTATGGGACAGTTGGAATGGTTTCACTCCTAGGTATTTACTGATTTGAAAACTTGTCCTCATAAAAACAGTACACACATGTTCATAACAGGGTTATAATTGGTTAAAACTTGAAGCAACACACATTTCTTCAGTAAGTGAATGGATAAACAAACTGGTACATCCATATGATGGAATACTATTCAACAATAAAGAAATGAGCTATCAAGCCACAAAATAAGTCCTGTATGAACCTTAAATGCATACTGCTAAGAGAAGTGATTCTGAACAGGCTGCATACTATGAGTCCAACTATATGACACTCTGGAAAAGACAAAACAATAGAGAATAAAAATGTCAGTGGTTGCCAGAGTTTGAGGGGAGGGAGGAATGAATAGGTGAAGCACAGGAGATTTTTAAGGCAATGAAACAATTCTGTGTGATACTGTGATGGTGTATACATGACATTGTGTATTTGTGAAAACATAGAACTTTACTGCACAAAGGGTCAAAATTCTATGTAAACAATTTTAATCATTTAAGAAGTCAGGGAATCATAGGAATGCAGACTGTGACAAGAGAACATAACTATTAGTACAAATGTAGAAACAAACTCAAGAGAGTAGGGGTGAAAGGTGCTGATCTAAGTAACTTTGGAAATTACTGGAGTTTGTAAGACTAAAGGCAAAAGGAACTGCATGTAAGCAGTTCCTAGCTGATACAAGTTGTTTCCCATGGGGTAGGGAAGTTTAAACATTCCCTCTGGAGGTTTGATAATTAAGTCTGCTGAAATGAACTGACAATAAACAGATTAAGAAGAGAAACACCATTTTAATTATGTACATGCACGTGGAAGCCTCAGAAAAATATGAGACTCAAAGAGGGGGGCAGATGGTTGAAGGCTTTATAGCATAAAATGAATAGGGGCTTGAAAGGGAGGTGATGACAAGTTATGGGAGGAAAAGGGGAGGAACTGCATGGTGAACAAAGATTGTCTTATGTAAATAAAGTCTCTCAGGTCATAAAAGTTGTTTAGGAGTTTTTTATTGCTGCTGAAGAATAGGCAATAGCCTGTTTTGGTGTGGTGACAACTTTTAATCTCCTCTGGTGATAAATCTTTCCTGGTTGTTTGTTGAAATTCCTAGGGAGGAGGCTCCAAACAAATGTATTCCTTTTGGAAGAACTTTCCTCAGTCAGAGAAGGGAACTTCAGGAGAGCCCCTCCCTGCACTTATGGGAGTAGGATGAGAAACAAGAGAAAGCCAGACAGGCCTCGCTTCTTGGGCAGCTTCGAAGGCTTTTCAATTTCCTTTAATTCTAAGTGCTTGTTAGAGGAATGTTAAAAGACTATACATTGGGGTATCATTTTCTGAGCCTTAACAGGGTACAATTCTGATATTAACAACTCTGCTATTGCCTTACGTGTATACTGGAATTAAACAAATTGATTGCAGATCGTGGGAGCCAGGTTTCTCACTGTTGGATTGGGAATTTACATTTAAGCAAAGGAAGGATGATTCATGTGGTAATAGATCAATTTGAGACATCAGCATGAACTCACATTTAGCTTAATATAGATACAGAAGGTTACATATAGAAATATTTCTAGATTAGTGTCTGTATTACAGTTAGTATGCACACATATATTTCCTTTCTCTGTCAGCTCAGAGAGTCTAGAAGCAATGATGCTCCAGTAGCAAGGAGCACACTTAGCACCCAGATCTTGATTTTTATACCATTCTCCAACAACAAAAATCAGGGCTTTTTGGAGAAATGGCTAATTCTGCTACTAGAGAAGGAAATCAACAAGCTGAGACTGGAGTATCTTGCAGTGCCAGAAAGTAAGGAAATGTTTAAAAAAAAATAAGAAAAAGAAAAAAAAAACCATTGATGGGGGTGTCAAAGGAGTATAGAAACAAATTGAAAGAGCTCCCAGTGACCAAATCTGGAATAATTTGAGCAAGAAAATAAATAAAGTAGTACTGGATTATAATACAAAATATAAAATATTTGTGAGCCCATACTGATATAAATAAATGATTGAATCAATAAATAAATGGGGTAAAGACAAATCTAACTTTGCATAAGAATTCTAAATAACTTATGTAGCTACTCTGCCCACAAAAAGGGGGACCATAAATTCCTACTCCTTTAGTGTAGGCTATACATAGTGACTTCCTCCCAAAGAGTGTAGAATGGAAAGTTGAGGGTGGAGGAAAGGGAGGGGAGCAGAGTAACTTTACTCTGGGGAAACTTGACAAATTACCTCAGCTAGGTGATCAAGGTCAATATGAACAGTGATAAATCATGTTGGTAGTATATGCCATTGACAGGATGTGATAAAGATGGTACGTTAACTCTGGTCTTGCTCCCCAAACCCTTAACCCAAGACTAATCATGAGGAAAAGAATCAGATAAATTTAAATACAGGGTCATCTATGAAATACTTGAACATTCCTCAAGACTGTCAAGGTCAGGAAAAACAAGAAAAGTCTAAGAAATTGTCACAACCAAGGGGAGTCAAAGAAGACATGATAAGTAAATGTAATGTGGTGTCCTGGGTGAGATTCTAGAATCAAAACAGGTAAAATTAAAAATCTGAATCAACTATGGTCTTTAGTTAATGATGTATCAATATTGGTTCTTAATTGTAACAAATGTAGCATCATGTAATGATATGTATATCATATATATGTATCAATATATAATAATA